CAATAGCTAAGATCTGGAAACAGTCCATCAATAGATGAATGGATAAAAGAGCTGTGGTACATATACACAATAGGATACTATGTAGCTGTAAGAAAGAAAGATCTCTTACCTTTTGAGATGACATGGAGGGACCTGGAGAGTATTATGCTAAGCGAAATAAGCCAATCAGAGAAAGACAAATATCACATGATCTCACTTATTTGTGGAATATAATGAACAAAATAAGCTGATGAACTAAACAGACCAAGAAACATAATAGTAGGGTACAGACTGACAAACCTCAGAAGAGGGGGGTGGGGAGGGAGGGAAGAGATAAACCAAAGAACTTATATACATGTATGCATAACCAGTGGACATAGACAACGATGTTGTGTGTGTGGGGGGTGTGGGGGGGGCAGGATCGGGAGGAGGGTGTCTGTGGGGGGAAAAGAAGAAACATCTCTAACAAAAATAATAAAAAAAAACCTAAAAAATAAATAAATAAAAATGTATATGGAGTATAAAAAAAGAGAAAAAGAAAATTACTGATCAATCTCTATCATGAATAAAGATACAGAAATCCTTAACACATCATAAGCAAACCAATATAACTTTATTTTAGGAATGTAAACTCGGTTTAACATTAGAAAATGAGTTTGTATAATTTACCACTTTAACAGACCAAGAAAAAAAACACATTCAATCATCTCAATAGGGGCAAAGCAAGCAATTAATAATATTCACCACAAGCTTATGATTTTTTAAAAAGCCTTACAAAAGTAGAAATTAAAGAGAACTTCTTTAATACCATAAAGATTTTTTTTACAAAAGAATATTCAGCAAGCATCATCATACTCAATGGGAAAATATTGGAGTGTTTTCATTAAGATTAAGAAAGAAACAGATTCCCACCGTGTCCATTTCTATTTATCATTATACTTGAGATGCTAGTCAGTGCAAAAATAAAAGATTTGAAAGAAATTTGGAAACATGGCTATGTATGAGGAAAATGAACAAACAAAATCTACAAATAAACTATTAGAATTAAAAGTAAATTTAGCTATGTCACCATATACAAAGTCAGTACAGAAAAATCAATTGTAATTTTACTTACCATAAAACAGTTTAACATAAAATTTTGTTTAACAAGAAAAAGAAAACAGTACCATTTGCTTGGCATAATAAAACCTAAATGCCTAGGAATAAATCCAAAAAAATATGTGTAAGACCTGTTCATTGAAAATTTTAAAGCAGTACTGGGAGAAATTAAAGACAATTTAAAGAAGTAGATAATCGAGTTCATGGGTCAAATGACTCAATATTATAAAGATGTCAATTATCTTCAAATTGATCTATAGATTTAGTGTAATCTTAATTAAAATTCCAGCAGGTGCCTTTGTGAAAATTGACGAGCTGATTCTAAAATTTATATGTAATACAAAGGGCCAAGAATAACCAAGCTACTCATGAAGAAGAACCAAGCAAAAACACTCACACTGCTAGATATCAAGTTTTCTTATAAGCTACACTAATTAAGACAGTATGATGTGAATAGAAAACTAAATCCATAAAACAGAACAGAGAGTCTATAAACAGACCTATTTATACACAAACATTTGGGTTATATCAAAGGTGACGCTGCAGGTGAAATGATCTCTTTTAAACAAATTGTACTGGGTCATTTGCATATCCATATGGGGAAAAATTGAAATTTCACATTAAATACAAAAATGAAATTCTAGAATAGTAGATCTAAATTTGAAAGATTAAAAAATAAGAATTCTAGAAGATAACACAGAAAAATATCCTGATGACCATGTATAACAAAGGAACAGGAATCATAAAGCACTTAGGATGAAGTAAAAATGATAAATGCATACTACATTAAAGTTAAGAACTTTTATTCATCAAAAGACACACAAGAACAAAAAGGCAAGCCACAGACTGGGAGAAGATATTTGCAATGCATGTAACAACAGAGGACTCATATCCAGAATATTTAAAGAACCCCCACAGGTCAATAAAAAAAAGACAACCCCATAGAAAAATAAGCAACAGACTTTAACAGACACTTAACAAAAGAGGATATTCAAAGCCAATACATGGGTAAAAAAGTTCCCACTTCAATAGTCAATAAGAAAATACAAATAAAAACCTCAAATTAAAGTTAAATACACACCCACCAGAATGGCTAAGATTAAATAGATTGACAATACTAAGTGTTGACAAGAATGTTGCACAACAATGCTGGGGAGAGGGAGGTGTAAATTGTACAAACAACTGAAAAAGTCATTATTAATTAAAGCTGCAGATTCACAAACCCTTTGAGCCAGCGAATCCATTCCTAAACATATACCCAAGAGAAGTGAGTACATATTTAAACCTGGAGCATTCTTTCCTCAGGCATCAGCATGGCTCCCTCCCCCACCTTTAGGTTCTTACTCAACTGACATTTTCTCAATGAAGCTTCCAAAACAAATTCTCCTGACCCTCTTTAATTAAAAAGTCTAACAATTTCCCCTCCCTCCCTCAGCAGTCCCTATCCCCCCTTATCCTTCTCCCCTGCTTTATATTTTCTACATAGCACTTACTATTTAATCTGCCTTATGCATTTATCTTCAGACAGAGCCAGAGGGAGGAAGAGAGAGAGAGAGAAACATCGATGTGAGAGAGACACATTGACGGGTTGCCATCCATCCACATGACCTCAACTGGGGCCGGGACAAACTGCAACCAAGGTACGTGCCCTTAGCAGGAACCAAACCCAGGACTCTGGTCCGCGGGCCAACACTAAACACTGAGCAAAACTGGCCAGCGCTGTTATTTTATTTTTATCATCTGTTTTTTCCTTTAAAATATAGATTCCATGAGGGCAGGGATTTTTATCTTCATTGTTCACAGCTGTATCCCCAGCACTTAGACTAGTATCTGACATAGAAGGTGTTCCACAAATATGTATTTGTTGAGTGAAATAACACATGTAAAAATACATAGTACTGTGTCATAGCGGGCATTCAATAAAAGCTGGTTTCCTTGCTCCCTTTTAATTAAATTATAAAATCCAGCATGTTTCAAGGTTCCAAACACCCCTAGGTAACTATGTGAAGTTGGAATCTAATAAGGACTCATAGAATCAGCCAGAATATCTGGATTCTGTATTAGCTGGGGCTGCCATAACAAAACACCACTGACTGGGTGGCTTAAACAACAGACATTTATTTTCTCATACTCTGGAGCCTAGAAGTCCAAGATCAAGGAATCAGCAGGTTAGGTTTCTTCTGAAGCTTCTCTTCTCAGCTTGCAGATGGCTGACTTGCTGTATTTTCACATGGTCTGTGTGTTCTAACCTACTCTTTTTATAAGGGCTTACCATAACCACTACACTTTAACTTAATTACCTCTTTGCATTCAGAGATTCTGTGGTACTGGAGGTTACTTCAACGTATGCATTTGCAGGGGAGCACACCTAACAGATTCTGTCCCTTGAGTTATATGATTGGATCTAATTCCCTCCTTTCTTTGGGGGTCAGTTTCCTCCCAGCTTAAAATGAAGCTTGTGGCTCTTGCTCCTAATGCTGACAATAAATAGTTTGCTTGCTGGCTTTCCTGTGAAAATCCTCAAATGGAAATAAAGGAATAAAACAATGGCAGAAATTGAAGGCCAATTGTCATCAAATTTACTGTTTTCCAACCCTGCACGCGTGTAGAGAGGGGAAAATAAGTGAGAGACTGTGTCCTGTTCAAAGGAGAGAGTCAGTTGTGGAATTTACAGTGGGAGAGAAAGAACATATTTGGGAATTATTCTACACTAGACTGTAATCTCACTGAATCCTCACAATTCCTTGAGATGGATATTATTATTACTTGCATTTCACTGGTGAGGACACAGAGACTCAGAATGTAGAGTTGGGTTTTGTTATTTTGGTCTACCTAGAACTCAGAGATTCCACACGTCACTTTGCTTTTAGCAATGGTTGAACAAATTCTGTAGCAAGGCACCTAGACCTAAGGAGGTGCTGATAAAGCTAAGTATTATTTCTTGGCCCCTCATACTTGGTTTTAGGTAGAGGAGGCCTGAGAGAAACAACTTCCCACTCATATTCTGTCCCAGAATCTGCATTGGTGACTCTACAAAAGGCCAGCCACCATGATCATTTTAGATCTGTCTAATCGATAAACTAGGGATGGGAAATCCCATTCTTAGGAGAGGCCTGCCCACCCCTCATGACTCCAGGATCAAGCCTGACAAATATAGTAGAAATTACAGGCATCTGATTGAAGGTTACATGTGTAAACTTCGCCTGAGCCAAGCCCCAAACCCTAGTTCTGCTGCAGCATCAAAGGACCATCTCTCTTCCAAGCTTCAGGCCCAGAGTAAGCAGCAATTTGGGAGACAGCCCCCTCTTATTTTTAGTCTTAAAAACCCTAAACCAAAACATACCAGCGCTCACTCAAGCGTCTCTCACAAGATGTTGTTTGATTTGGGTTGAGAAAATGACAGACTGAGTTCTGCACCGAGAACAGAAGGAAAAAAGAGGGGAGAGAAAAGGAGTTTTATTTTCCCTCCACTGCCAACCTCCATCCCCCTCAACTCCTCCCCTAGGCTTGGGTGGACCCTGCCTGGGTAATCGTCCCCTGCTATATTTAAAAAACCACAGTTGTGCTTGGTGGAGACTCAATTTCGGAATTGCAGACGGCGTCTCCTAAGGACAAGGGGAAAGCCGGTGCCACGCGCCTGCCTGCCCGCCCTCCCGCCTGCTGCCGGGCGCTCCGGACTCCGCGGAATCCAGGTCAGGACGCGCCGTGGTCCTGGAAGTGCCCCTGGCCGAGAGGAGACGGGCGCCAGGGTCCAACGACTGGGTGGGAGGCCGCGGGACAGGGGTTCCATCTGCTTTCAGCCCTCGGGGCTCTCTGAATTCAACGAGGTGCAGGCTCTACTTCCACTGGTCGGGAAGCTATCTGAAAATTGCCCCCACCTGAGGGCGAGGATAAATACGCGCGGCTTGTCATTTCGTGCGGCTCGCTCTCTCCCAGCTGATAGGGTGACGTTCGGTTTGGAGGCTTGGAGATTGGCTTTTTGATTTGGCTTCTTGCTGCAGCTTAGTAGGCAAAGCTCTCGGTTCGCCCAGAAACCAGCCCCTCCGCGCGTCTCCTCCGCGAGCGGCGAGGCCGAGACGTAACCCGCGGTGACGGCGTGCGAGGCGGAGACCCCGCGCTCTCCCTGCCCCGGGAAAGCCCCGGCGACGCGACTGCAAGCGGGGGTCCCTAGGAGCCACCAGTACGTGCTGGGCTGCTCGCCTTCCTGCCCCTCCCGGCAGGGATCCCCCAGCAGCCGGCGGCCGGGACTCCCGGCCTCTCCTAGTCGGGGATTTCCAGGGGTCTTCGGGCGGGTTTTCCTTGCTCCTAAAATCGGCGCCTGGGGACCCCTCCCCACGTGCCCCGCCCTGGCCCCAGCCCTCGCGCTCCAGATGCGCTGCCCGGCAGCTCCCTGAAAGCCGCGGTCCTCGAGCCCTGGCCAGCGGGCGGCGGCGGCGGACTGACATGCCCCGGACGCGGCTGCGGCCGGCGGGCAGCCCGCGGGGGCGATGAGCCGCGGCGGCCGGTGAGGAGCTGGGCGGCGGGGGCATCGCACACCTTCCTCACCCCTTCATTTGCCCACTCTGCTCGGGAGACCGAGAGGAAACGGTGAGTAATGGGGTGAGCCTCTTGCCCTTCCCCCTCAGCGGGCGGCCGAGGCCGGGGAGGCAGAGGTTGGGGGGCCTTGGAGCTGTCCCCAAGAAGGTTTCTGCTTGTGAATAACGGTGTTAATTAAGTTATTTCTCAAGATCATTCATATGAACTGCCTTCCTGAGGGCTTAGTGCTTGAAGAGGTGGTGGGGAGGGTGCCCCGGAAAGTGTACGTTGTATATGCGGTGTTGGGGTGGGGGGGCGTTCTGGCAGAGTGAGTGTCTAGCAGCGGTGCCGAGGGGCGGGGGGGGGGGGCGAAAGAGATGCCTGGGTATGTGTGTGCAGTCGGGTTAGTGGCGGGTGCGCATTGGGGAGGCAAACTGCTGTGTTGCGTGCTGGATGCGCGTGTGTGCTGGCTGTGCCAGGGCGTGTTGTGCTCCTGGGGCTCTGAGTGCCCCCGGGTGTGGGGGCTAGGAGGGGAGACCACTGGGTGTGGGGTCTAGTAGGGGAGCGTGTTATTCCACTCGGCGCGCGCCCGCGTGCACAGAGGCACGCGCGCACCCCAACGTCCGGACTCCACGGCCGCGGGTCGGGAACTGCAACCCCAGCACATCACCGCCCGCGGCGGCCAAGGGGCGGGGAGAAAGAGGCTTTCTCCTGTTCTGTGCTCTCCAGACAGCGGTGGTCTGGTCGGTCCGGGCCAGGTGGAGAGAAGCGAAGTATGTAACTACCCCTCACCCCTCCATCCCCGAACAACACACACACACACACACACACACACACACACACACTCACAGCCACAGGCCCTCATTCAGAAGCTAGAGTTGCTCCAGCAGACCCTGCCTGCTCTGCCTTGAGTACCCGAGCCATTGGAGGAAATAGAGAAAGCCATTGGATCCAGGGGGGAAAAAGCTTTTCGGCTTTATTCATTGTTTTATTTTTAACCGTGGAGGGTGTGTGTGGTTAAATAGAACAAACGCCTTTAATGCAGTGCCATAAATTTACCCGTTCGCTGCCTGCCTATCCCCCCACCCCAACCCCACCCCATTTCTTTCTCTCCTAGCATTCAAAAACAAACCCAGAACGTTTTGTGGTTCTGTCTCCTGGGCAGAAGGATTAAAATTGGTGACAGTTTTTTCAGAAACGCAGGCCGCAGCAAAGCATGGAGCTCCTGGGTGGTCAAGAAACACCCCAAGAGGAGGGAGTTGTGGGTGGGTTACAGGAACACATCCGGCGTACTGCTGGGGCTCCAAAGGGAAGCCTCGGGCCTCTGGTGACCTGGTGACTAGCAGCCGCGTGTGATTAATCTTCCACAGCTGTTGTGCCCCATCCATTTGAGCTGAGCTCTTGTTTACCTCGATTTTCAAATATAGCTGCTGCGCCATGCTCTTCTGTAATAGGGGGATCAGTTCGGCCTGGGCACTCGGCCTCTCCTGGCCCTTCGTTTTGCCTGCTGCACTGGATCCAAGTTGGAGAGGAGCTTGCCCCTTCTTGCCTTGCATTTCTCCAGATGAGGATGGTTGATGATCAGAGCTTGGGTGACTAGGTGTGGGGCAGATCACGCAGCCTCTCATTGCAATCTACATTCCCCGTGGGCAGTCCCCACACAAAAGTCCACTCAACAGCCTCATTTTTCTTTAAATAAAATATAGATATTGGGTCCAGAAGAAGCAGATGGAACCTACAGAACTGAACTTGGTTGAAGTGGTTCTTGAACTGAATGAAGATGGGAAGGCTGTTTATGCAGTTTCCTCTACCTGGTGCACTTTATTGTTCTTTCAACACTCCCAACCCCATCGTGTCTAATGTACTCCTATTCACCCTTCAGCTCTTACTCCATTGGTTACTTCCTCCAGGAAGCCTTCCATGCCTCCGCTGACTAGGCCAGAACCCTTTATTTTATGTACCCATTACCTGAACCTGTTACTATGAAGTAATTTAAAGATGTACATTAAATTTATTAACGTGATTGAATAATGCCAGTTATATCTCTAGACAGTAAGCTGCATGAAGGGAGGAAATGTAGCTGGTGAATTTATTCACATAGTATCCCCAGGGCCTAGCACTGTGCCTATCATAGAATAGGCACTCAGTAAATGTTTTATTAAATAAAGGGACAAGTTACATCTCCTCTCTGCCCATGCTCCTCTGAGTTCCACTTTGGTCTCTTGCACTGTCCTCCACAGCCTTCTGGTCAGAGAAGGGAGAAGAGGGTTGTCAAACTGACCCTGTAAAAACATTCCCTTCTGCCCTGGCTGGTTTTGCTCAGTGGTTAGAGCACGGCCTGCAGTCCAGAGAGACCTGGGTTCGGTTCTCGCTAAGGGTACGTACCTTGGTTGCCGTTTGTCCCCGGCCCTGGTTGGGGTCGTGTGGGTGGCAACCACTCGATGTGTCTCTCACGCCGATGGCTCTCTCTCTCTCCCTCCCACTCTATCTGAACAAAAAATGGAAAAATGTCCTCGGGTGAGGATGAAAAAAAAAAAAATTCCCTTCCCCCAGAGAGGAGCCTGGGCTGGGACCCTAAGCCGAGGCAGTGTCCTCCTGCCCTAGCCCTGCCCTGTCCTTGTGCAAGGCAGTCCCTTGTACAGTCTCTGGGCACAGTTGTTGGTACTGTCCAAGGATAGTCATTGTGGACATTGTTCCCCAGTCTGAATTGCCCATAGTCTGGATTTGGGGGAATGTGTCACACATCTTGGCTTCTCTTCAAGCTACCAAGGTCAGATAAGAGAGGGTGACTTCCTTTTCACTCAAACCTGGTTGCTTTGTCTAGAGGTTCAGAAATACATTGAGCTCCAAAAGAAAAAGCATTCATTTATTTATTCCATCAGCTATTTACTCAATAAATATTCAACAACTTACTCTGCCAGACATTTGCTAGGTACAGAGGCAAATAAAATAGAATGGCTCCTTTGCTCATGAACACCCATTCATCCCTGCAGGCACAGCCAACTAGTGAACAGGCAATTACCATCCATATAAAATGATTCCTTTCCGTGGAGGGTAAATCCTGGGCACAATGGAAGCGTAGAAGAAGATCCCCTCTTTCTAGTGGCTTAAGGACTTCTACGGACAGCTAATCCCAGAAAGAAAGGATGGGTAGAGTTGGTTTTGGTGGAAGCAGGGAGGGGTTGGAGTGGGGGCAGAAAGTGACACGAGCGAAGGGATCAGTATGCGAAGGCCTAAAGAGAATGAGAGCTCTTCCAAATGACTGAAGACAGAGGCTAAATGAGAGGAGATGAGTTTGGCGAAGCTCTAGGGGCCAAACCCCGAAGGGTTTGTACTCCATCCTAAGGATTCCCACTGAGTTTCATGTGGGGGCTTAGGAAGATCTTCACTACTGAAGTGCAGGACCAGATTTGCATTTTGTATGTGGAGACTGGGATGTAGGGATAGAGAGGGAGGCAGGGCGTTAGGAGGCAGAAGACACAGAGTGTCACTGTCCGGGTGGCCTGAGAAGGAGGATAAGGGATCCCTCCCTCTGTTGTAGCATACAACCCAGAGCTGCCCTTCTGGGAAGAAGTTCCACTACTTTTAATGAGATCGGTTTATGTTTGGTTGTCTGTTTTTTGAATGGGCACTCCAAACCCAGCACTGGGCAGGGCCCCTCGGGGAAAGGAAAAGTGGCTCCAGCAGGTGTAAAACATATTTCCTGGCCTACTGAGCTGCAGAGCAAGGAGGACCTCCAAACGTATAAAATCTCTGGGGCTGGGCAAGGCCCTGAGGAGGAGTCTCTGGAAGAGTAAGAAGTGTTTAGGTTCACAGAGACTACAGAGAAAGACATCTTTTTTTTTTTTTTTAATCCTCACCTGAGGACATTTTTCTATTTTTTGTTCAGATAGAGTGGGAGGGAGAGAGAGGAAGAGAGAGAGAGAGAGAGAGAAACATCGATGTGAAAGGGACACGTCGAGTGGCTGCCACCCACACGACCAACCAGGGCTGGGGACAAACTGCAACCAGGGTACATGCCCTTAGCGGGAACCGAACCCGGGTCTCTGGACCGCAGGCTGATGCTCTAACTGCTGAGCCAAGCCGGCCAGGACGAGAAAGACATCTAGATAGGAAGAATCACATGTGTTTGTGTATATATATATACACATTTTGATAATGTGAAGAGTGAATAAAGGCTAATTCCAGTATCCAGGGTATTCCTATGTGGTATACAGAGTCAGGCCTACTAAGAAAACAGCTCTGTTTCATCCTGGATATAGCTTGGAATGGGCCACGTAGCACAGACTGCACTGATATTTGTAGTTGACAAACAGTGCTTTCCTGGTTGTATGCAAGAAGAAGGGGTCTTGTGGCGACCGGATCGGAAGTGCGACTGGAAACTGTTATCCTGCCCTGGCTTTCACGCGGTAGACCAAGTCACTTGAGAGGAGAGGACCTTGGAGTCATGCACTGCTATGTTCATTCCAGAGAATGAAGCCGAACAATGTGAGCTTGGTTGATATCCTTCTTTTGCACCCTGATCTCTCCACTTGTTCATCCTTCCTGTCACTGGTCTCCTTTCCCCTCCTGCATAGTGCCCAGGACCCACCCCTGCCCTGCCCTCAACTTGCCTGGATCTTTCTTCTTCAACAGTGAATCCCTCCCTCTAATTGTAAGCAAGCTCAGCAAACCCCATCCTAAAATGAGCATCACGTGTCCAGTTTCATCCTCTGTCATGCTCTTTTTTTTTTTATCATCACTCATTCATTCATTTAGTCCCTTACTTTCCCACTTTTCTCCGTCTCTGGCCAACTCTCATCCACCAAGGACTTCTTATTCTCCAAAATATAATAACTTATTCCTGATCATCTGCCTATCTACCTACCTACCTACCTACCTACCTATGTATCTACCTCATCTCCCCCTCTGACCACCCCCATTAGATAAGATTGACCATTAGCTCTTAAAACTTTCCTCTCTTGACTTCTATCACACTGAACACTTTGGGTCCTATTAATTCTCTAGGTGTTCTCTCTTCCACTTCCTCTCCACATTCTCTCCTTCCTCCCAGGTCTCCCCTTTTACGTCAG